AAAATTAACAGAAAGAGCGATAAAGTTGATAACAAGAATGAGACCTACATCCTTGGAAATAGGAATGTATTATGTTTTTGTTTTAGTAAGAGGTTTATGGCTCTCGCAACTGCATAAGGTTACATGAGCACACGATAGGAATGTGTGAATAATTGAATGTAATGAGACGCCCAGTGGTTTGTTGGTGTTGGGCTGAATACTATCAATAGTGCCCTCATTGCTCAGTTGGTTAGATAGATAGATAGATAGATAGATAGATAGATAGATAGATAGATAGATAGATAGATAGATAGATAGATAGATAGATAGATAGATAGATAGATAGATAGATAGATAGATAGACAGATAGATAGATAGATCTCTCAGTGTGTACACGTGTTTTGTGTGTGTGTGTGTGTGTGTGTGTGTGTGTGTGTGTGTGTGTGTGTGTGTGTGTGTGTGTGTGTGTGTGTGTGTGTGTGTGTGTGTCATATATGCACACACCAATTATACAGTACTCCTTCGAATATTGTCGAGATTATGTTCCTGAACCTCCAGTAGAAGGAAATCAATCAAATAGAAACGGTCACACGGACCTACTTTTTAAAAATTTAATTAAAAACCATCTCTGCACTTTTATAAACATCTACCACTCTCTTATAAACACCTCTTACCTCTGAGATAATAATGTGAGAGACCAACAATATTTTAAAAGTAAAACATCGGTATAATTTATTTTTCAAATTTACAAAATTAAGAATTTCGCATGTGCCCTGAACAGGAAGTATTTAATTTGGGGAAAAGGGTATGTTGGTTTTCAACTATAAGACATCTGAAATCGTTCCCGTGGCCAATGAATACAATATTGCTTGCTCTCTCAGTCACCAGGGCACCCAAAAGGTGTGGGATTATATAGGATTATCAGAAAACATGTATTTTAAGATACACTTGAAAAGATTAAAGAACTGACCCCCTACCCCTCCCCCCCCCCCCCACACACACAAATTAGAAGTAAAAACTCACAAAAAGCCCAAACAACAATCAACACAACCTCTCGTCCCTGTCCATTTTGAATCTCTTCTGTTGAACATAAATCCGAAATGAAGCCATTGATTTAGTACATCAATACACGCTGGACCATTGCTGTAGAAATAAATGAGAAGAACAAATCAATAGATTATCTTTTCGGCTTATGTGTGTGTGTGTGTGTGTGTGTGTGTGTGTGTGTGTGTGTGTGTGTGTGTGTGTGTGTGTGTGTGTGTGTGTGTGTGGGTGCCTGTATGGGTGTGTGTTTTTTTGTGTGTGTGTGCTGTATGTGTGCGTGTGTGTGTAACGTGTTTATTTGTCCGTGTGTCTGTATATGTGGAGGGGGGGAGGAGTAACTTATGTCAGAAGAATGGATTGCTGGAGATTAATAACTTCCCTTCCTATTCAGTACGCATAAAAGATGCATCGGGTGATTTGCCATTCCGTTATTTAACCCGTCCCCTCCATCCCTTTCAAAAAGGAAAAACCAACCAGTGTTTTCCACCCAAAGGTGGTCATTGCAAATATCCTCACTCGCCACAGGTCAGGAGGTGTGGGTCAAAGAGCATTATTCTAGTGTGAAATTAATGGACGGGATCCTTCTTCATTGGCGTTAGTCATCAAACTTTCATGTGCTCACTCACCAGAATGGCGTGTGGCCACTACACGATCCCTTAAAATGTTCTCAAGTTTTGTGCTGGAGCAGAGAGCGTTAAAGGACATAGGTTCGGTAACAAGCCATACAGTCAGCATTAATGTACATTCTCTCTCTTCATTTCTGGTAAATATTCGAGTCCAAACTGAAGGGAACTACTCAAGAATTCGCATTTTCATTTCCCTTACGATCGCATCCCAGAAGACATTAGGATGACGCTTTTGGACAACGACTAAACGTTTTCTTTACCCCCGTTCTTAATTCATAATCGCTTCGTGTAAGTTGCCTCTAATGGCAGTCATCGTGTCACGGCTCAGTAATATTTATGGTTATAGGACATTTTGTGGCGGGATTCACTATTCTCTTTTGAACCTATCTCTCCGCTGATATGCGCCAGACGCTCTTATCCAGTGCTGCGTATTCTGACTCCGCCGCTTATTGCTGGATTTGTGAACGTTGTAATGCTTGGACTATAATTCAACAAAGTCAAAGGAAAAAATCTGCCCTGATCTCGGCGTAGAAAGTAAAACGTTCAGCATATTAAACAGGACACGCTCGTTGCCCAGCTCTACAACGTTCAAATAACTATTGATTAAACGTTCTCTCTGTGAAGATAAGGGACAGTGGCGAACTGGTCATTTTTGATTGTGCTCCACTTTCGTTACAATGATTGAAGAAAAACCTTACTTACTATTTAGCTGATCGCATTGTTTTCACACAGGTATGTCTATCGGTTTCATCACAATCTCTTGTTTACTGTAATATTTTGTGTTCTAATTTGTTGTTGTTTTATCAGTTTTGTGCCATAATGGCAATTCACAGGAAATATTTCTGATAACAGCTTCCGCTCTTGTACAAACTCAGTCCAGAATAAGTGAGGACATCAGTGGAAAAAAATAAGTAAACAAAATTCGACAAATTTTAAGAAGGTGGAGGAAATGGAAATTTAAAGTTTAAAGGCCCGTATCTCATAGTCAGAATAAAGTTTCTTTTATCTTACATCGCACAGGATAAGACATATTAGGTTATCCGTCGGATCATTTGCGGAGAAATAAGTTTCATTTGTAAAGAATGCAACATTATTTTTTTTTATTTTTTTTTTAATGCTTTAATATTTGTGAAATGTTTTTAAAAATTGTTTACAATTTTTTAAATTTTGAAATCGACTCATTAATTGATTAATCGATGTGTGTGGGGGGGGGGGGGGGAGGGCGGGGGTTTTTGGGGGTTTTTTTTTTTTTTTTTTTTTTTTTTTTTTTTTTTTAAATAGATATGACTTTTGTTTATTCCATTGGAGGCTTCATGTGTTTCATAAGGTTGCTGGGTTATTTCAATCTCAAATACGACTTTATTCATGAAGTGGGATGTTCTAAGTGTTCCCAGTTGTATTATCATTGCTGAAATGTAACGCTTTTCCGAATACAGACGCCTGTATCTTCCCGCGACACCCACCGGTACAAGCGGAAGAATAAAGTAAAGTAAAGTAAGTAAGAGTCGGGCGCGATCGGCTTGTGCCACGATAGCCGCTTTGCGCCCGCAATCTGGCTAGCAAACCACCCCGACCCGACCCGATCCCCCAATGGGCACCCGTATTATGGTGCACACACGTACGTTTTTGGAAGGAGTCATGGTGCAATTCTAGACCGATGGTTTTGAGCTCAGTTCAGAACTTATTTCAGTATGCCAAAGACAGGAACATTTCACTCCCTCAGAATTACAGAGTTCTATCTGCCCACTGCCTAGTTTTGAGAAATCTGACGTAAAACATTTTGAGTTTCACAACATGCCAAGCTTTTTTTACTGCAATTCTTTGAATATCTTGATAATGACTCCGAATAATCTAACGTTTTTTATAGAGCAGATAGAAAATTGAGTTTCTGTCCTCAAGGTCGTATTAACTCAAAAAAATCAAAAATGTCTGATAGAATTTTATAGTTCTGAGGTAGCGATTTGTTTGTCTGGATCATGCCGAGTACAGTTTTTGTGGAGAGAAGTCAGAGTGAAAAAAATAATTGTGAGGCAGCGTGGTGGAATTTTTGGGCATATTGAGTTATTGGTATCATCTTAAAGCTTGTTCATTTGTCTTGCTTTCAATGAAAATATTACCCATCCATCTTCAATAGAAGTGGAGATATTTGGGATTGAAGGAGGTGGGGGTCACCTGCTTTAAGAGGTAAAATTAGAGAGAAAAGGGCCACCAAAGCTTGGTAAATTCCAAAGCTGGAGAGTCCATGGAAACTGTAAATTTATATTTTGTGCCTTTAATCAACGTTTTCGGTGAAATCCTCAAAGGAATGTGTTTGTAAATGGACATAAAATGTGTTGAGCCAAAAAACAAAAATTTGATAACAATTGCTAAGCAGGGAGAAAACTGCTGTTTTCTTTGATTTCATTATTTTGACGAGAGCCTGATTCCACCACGCTGCCTCACAATATTTCTCATGCCAACTTGTGGAGAACTGATCGCATAAGCTCTTTAACCGTTATGCTTGTCTTCAGATCAAAAAGTGACAGCCATACGCCCAACCGCACGCTTGATGTTTGACCAACAATTCTGTTTTCTTTTTTTTCTGTTTCTCCTGTTTGCCACTGCCACCAAGTCTGTCCATCTATCAAAATAATATATCTATAATTATAAAATGTGTGTGACATCACCAACATTTATATTGAACTTCATCAGTTCTGTATCGTTCTCTCAGTCTCCAGACTTGAAAATGACGGCCGTAAAACCAACTGTGCGCTTGGCGGTTGTCCGAACCCTTTTAGTTTTCACATTCTATTACACCTGTTCGCACCGGCCATCAAGTCTGTCCATCTACGAAAATATATGTGCATAGTCATGACAATAATACGATACCATCAATATCTATAGAACTGCAAAAGTGTTGTAATCTGTATCCTTGTCTCCAAACTGAAAAACGACAGCCATTGCCCAAGGAACGCGTGTATGTTTCCTGAACCCTTGTGGTATCCTTCTCCAGTTTCTCCCGTTACCTCCTGCCACCATTTACCAAAATATTAAATGTCCACAATCATGAGAATAGTAACGGCGGGATATTGCCAACTTTTATAGAACTACATAAGCTCTGTAATTGTTCTCCCTGTCTCTAGACTAAAAAATGACGGCCGCATGCTCAACAGTGCACTTGGCTGTGGTCCAAACTCCTCTGCTTTTCCTCGTCCCGTTACTCCTGCTCACCCCGGTCACCCAGTCTGTCCATCTTCCAAAATATTATATTCTACAACCATGAAATTAATACGATTTTTACCAATATGTATAGAACTACATAAGCTCTTTATCCGCCCCCCCCCCCCCCCCCCCCCCTTTCAAACTAAAAGAATGGCGGCCGTACGCCCAATCGTGGGCTTGGCGGTTGTCCGAACCTTCTTGGTTTTCCACGTCCCGTTACTCCTGCTCGCCCCGGGCACCCAGTCTGTTCATCTACCCGAGACCTTCGCCTGGAGCAACCTCCGGACGTCCCCGGACACCAACGTAGAACTGGGTCGTATGGTGAGACTTCTGTACCCAGTGCGGAACGCCCAGCAGTGTCTGCGAGCCTGTTGGCTGTTCAGGGCTTGCTCCTACGTCTTGTACTCTCCCGGGAACCCAACCTCCACGTGTGTAGTCCTCGGAGAAGCCCCACCAACAAACACGAGGAGGCCGGACACGTCTGCAGTGTTGGTGGACCTCACGTCTGCCCAGTTGAGCAAGGTGGGGATAGAAATATGGTTTATGAGCCCTGTTGAGCAAGGTAGAAGGATAAAAATAGGGTGAACGAGCCCAGTTGAGCAAGGTGGGGATAGAAATACGGTAAACGAGCGCAGTTGAGCAATGTGGGGATAGAAATATGGTGAACAAACCCAGTTGAGCATGGTGGGTATAGAAATATGGTGAATGAGCGCAGTTGGCAAGGTAGAGGGACAGAGAAAAAAAAGCAAGCATTGTTTTCTAATCGCTCATGAGTGTAATAGCTTAAACTTAAAATTATTCATCATAATAATATCCGTCTATCTTTCCTTCCATTTATCTTCTTTTTCATCCACGTTTCCTGTTTTTAGCTGAGACAAAATCCAAACGTGTTTCAGGGGCTTCTGTTATTTATTCATGTGTGTATAATTTCTCCATTTTATAATCTGGTTCATTCGTTCGCCTTTCCATACGTCCATTCCTTTTCTCTCAAATCTGACCCATTCAACAACTTAATATTAATGTCCGCCAAGCTATCTACTGTTCCATCCTTTCACTTTGAGCTCCCACCCACTCCTCCACTCCCCCCCCCCCCAGATTATACACCCTAAGTGATCCCCTCTTATTTTGCACCAAATATTTATTTCTCTATGTCTCTAAGAGCATTAAACCACACAGCATGTTGCATTCAACCCACTCCTCTCTATGCACAACTTCACGATACTGGTTGTCAAGCTGTTCTACTGTTCTAAACCCAGAGAACGACATCTTTCAGGAAAGAGAAATAGACTGTTTTATTCTTTTAAAACTGTACTTCTTGGCGTATCTTTACCTGCCTTTGTTTTCAACTTAAAAAGTTGAATTTCGATCAAATGTGTTCTGGAGCACACACAACTGAAATCATAGATTAAGAAACTGTATTCTTTAAAAGTAAAATTGTTGGTTTAGTTCATTGAAAAAGCTGACTGACGGTATATTCTTTTCCCCCCTCCCCTAACCCCCACCCCTACTCATTTCCGCTACCCAGAATTCCGTGGTGTTATTTACTTTTATAGTTCCAATGTCACTAATATTTAAATTTCTCCTTGCAGAAATGTTAGGACTATTAGTGGTTGTAAACTACAATTCCAACACTTAAATGACCTATTTGCGTTGCAAGTGCCGTAAAACTCTCACTAAAACTAAAACTACACTTTAACTGTAAAAATAACGGACCTTCTCCCAAACCGTCTCTCCCCGCATTCAGACAACGCTGTACGGGTGTGACGAGCGGCCGTGCCAACCACTGGAGATCTGTGTGCCAGTCAAGAACGTGTACACGTACACCTGCCTTCCCACCAGTGAGTGCTGACACAACGCGCTGGAATCGGGCGCTCGTCAAATTTTGTGCATGTAGAGTTATTGGTGTAATCAAAAAGCTTGTTCATTTGCTTTGCTTTTGTTTATAAAAAGTACCCGCCAATCTTGAATAGAAAAGTCGAGTTATTGTGATTAAAGGAGGTCGGGGTCGCTTTGTTTCAGATGTAAAATTAACGACAGTAAACTTCACACAGAAATATGTTTTTAAATAAGCATAAGAGGTGTTGAGCCAAAAAAAAAATACTTGTCAAACTGGAAGAAAATTCCGATATCTTCGATTTCATTATTTTGACAAGTCCCTGATTTCACCACAATGCCTCATTATAATATAACCTCCTTGGGGAAAACCTCTTTCGTAAATCACGGGCAAGCTGTTCAAGTATGCTAGGTCTTGAAAGCTGAATTTGTCGTGAGAGAGGGGATAAAAACCTTTCGTTCTATTGACAACGATACCTACATTACGCTCCCTCCCCCCCCCCTCTTTTTTTTTTCCTCTTCCACTATCAAAATTTTAATTTTGACAAAATATTTCTTGAGGTAAGCAACCAATTCGACAGATTCAGAAATTTCAATTTTAAAGAATTTCAAAATTTGGGCATGGTACATCTAAACTGCTAGCAGAAGAAATGTAAAGTAAGTGTTTAGCCAAGGCAACTTACAGGCGTATATTAAAATTGATGTTGTATATTCATTTTAATAATTTTCCCTTGTCCAATGTCATGCCTGTTTTCCAAAGACCTGATCTCCGGCAAGCTGCTCCCAGCGGCTCGCGGTCGAGACCCCTGTGCCGGTGAGTCCCTGACGGCGGCTCGGGCACATTCCTTTGCGACGACTTCGATGTCAAATTACTTTTCAGCAATTGCCGGAAACAGGTCTCATTTACAGGAATTTCATTCATTTGAAGAAAAACTATCGAAATGGGTTTACTTGTTTTGATTTGATTACCAAATTAGAGACGTAAATGTCAATTTTAGATTTTGAACCAAAATAGGGCGCTGGCATAGTGGCTTTACCCTCTTCGGATGTAAAAAGCTAAAGAAGAACCTTTCGGAAATTCCCCAGTTTTCCAAAACTGTAAGAGCCCTCCAGAAGTACAAGGCGGAGTGATAGCTACAGACGGCATGACGTCACAGCTCACATATTCATGCGCAGTCGGATACCTCAAAACGTCTGGAAAGACGTCCGTGTCCACCTGCGACCTCTGGACTGGTCAGTTCTCTCCTGTGGATCTCGTCTGCGATGACGTGGACTGCGGGTCCCCGCCGGACATGCCACAGGCCAAGGTAGTGGTCTCTCTCTCTCTCTCTCTCTCTCTCTCTCTCTCTCTCTCTCTCTCTCTCTCTCTCTCTCTCTCTCTCTTTCTTTCTTTCTTTCTCACTTCCTTTATATCTGTCTTTCATTCTCTATCCCTTTCTCTTTCTCTCTTTCTTCCCCTTTTTCATTCTCCATCTACCCATCGTATACCTTTCAACCCGGGTTGTCCCTGCCAAATAGAATCGGAAGCCCGCCTCCTGAATAATCTTTTTTTTTTAAAACCTTCTTCTCTCTCTCTCTCTCTCTCTCTCTCTCTCTCTCTCTCTCTCTCTCTCTCTCTCTCTCTCTCTCTA